TTTGAAAGGGCCAATCACCTGTTGAATAGTTTTAATCACTATTTTTATTAAAAACTCTAGTGGTCTGCAACAATAAACTACACTAGATGCATAGAAAGCATTTTCTAAAAGGGGCCCTTTTGCTCATTTCAGAACATAAGAACATGGAAGTGAGTGTATTAATGCTGATGACATGCCATACAAGTTTATACTACAAAACACCTCCATTTAAGCTAGAGAGCTACACTCACATTTCAGCTTGCTAAAATCTGTAAGGGTGCCAAGACCATGGGAAAAGCCTGACTATGAAGACCATGGCCTTGCTAGGCAGAGATAAATCCCACCTATTGAGTAATGTGAAAACCAGAAGCTGTAGGGTCAGGTAGTGGAAGATCATTGCTGGTCAGGCATACTTTTTATGTATATTTATGATTTTTTAATTATTGGAGTCATTAGTAAAAGTCTGAAAACACTGGGACTTTTTTTGCTGTATTGGATAACTCCAAACAATGACTGTAGGAAGAGGGATTTCTGGTAGAAGCTATATTACAGGATCCTATGTGATGTTCAATGTTCAAAATAAATAGGATGAATTGTTAAAAGAAGAATTTTGGAGGTATCATCATGAGATGAAAAATCATCTACAGAACCTTGGTCTGTAAGAGAGGTAAGAAATTAAGCTGATCTCTGTCTAGTACCTTATCTGGTATCTTATCTTGAAGAACAAGGCTCACAGTACAACAAGCAAAGGAGAAAAAAAAAGGTGACTCTACTCATCATCCAGATAAATTCCTTGTGGAAATAAAAAAAGAAGGAAAAAAATAAGTTTTTCTCAGTAGTGAGCTCTCTTCTTACAAGGATGGGTTTTGGAGATGAGTGGTTTTTTGGGTTTGGGGCAGAGGGAGAGGTTGTCTGTTTGTTTGGTTTATTTCCCTTCTGTTTGAGAGTTAATAGGAAATGGCTCATGCATCATTATTTAACTTGTAGCTGGCACAGCCTCATTTGATGGTTTTCTGCCACTCAGATCTGCTTCACCCCCTCTTGAGGCTGACCCTGACCCTGTGCCCTGTGTAAGGAAGCCTTAAGAAGAGCAGTGATGATGTGGTTGCTCAGCACTTTCTTCCTGACAACTGTTTTTTCTTGTATGTGCCCTGCTCATCCTGCTTCCTGCACATCCACCAGTGGAAAAGTGGGAAATGCTCTCTTATGTCAGCTTCTCTATTTTTTCTCTTTCATTGCCACAGGTGGCTCTGCACAGGACTTGCAGCAAACCCCTATATCCATCACCAAGCCAGAAGGCGAAACAGTGATAATCCACTGCCATGTCTCCAGTCCTGATTTTAGAAAAGTTTTTATTCACTGGTACCAAAAGAAGGTCGATGGAGTTCCCAAGCGTGTTGCCTACATGTCCTCCAAGTTTTTCCTTGAAAATCAGTCTGATAAGGGGAAGTTTACTGTTGAGAAGGATCCCAGCAAATCTGTCTTCATCCTGACAGTGAGCAAAGTAACGCCACAAGACTCTGCCACCTACTACTGTGCCAGTTGGGATGCACAGTAGTAGAAAGCCACAGGGGACCTGCACAAAGACATGCCCTGCTTTCCAGATAAGAACCTCAAGTGTTTGACAACACGCAGGAGCGCTGCCACCCTACTCTTCCCAAAAGCTTTGAATCAGATTGCACAGACAGCCAGACACAAAGGATGCTGCTGAGCACTACGGCCAGTACCTGCAGACCTGTTATTTCACTTTGCAAGCAAAAATGGCATTTTTGGGGTCAGGATGGATTACCTCTGAGTGGGTTTATAAGAGGACAGGTTTGGCTAAAAGCAGGGTCCTGCTAAAAGCAGGAAAAATCTTTCTATTCCCACTACCCTTCAAGCTACATCTTTGGAATAAAACCCCAGATCTGTCATTTAGGTGGCAGAATAGAAGGTTATAAGTGAAAATAAACTTGAAGCACCAGTCAAGACTGCAGATGCAATATACCCATTTTATACTTCTCTGTCACTTGAGAATCTGGTTTTATTTTCTCTTTCCTTTCTGTCTGGAGTTGATCAAATTTTCATTTAGGTTAAAACATAAGTCTCCTAATTGACTTCAGTGGGGTTTCTCATCCAGCATAGCAAGACTGCAGCTACAGAGCAGATGTTTTTATTTTTGCAAACAGAAGGACATTCCTTTGAGTTATTTCAGCTCTTTCTGTTTATGGACAAATGACATATAGATAAAGTCACAGGACCATTGTGTTCCTATCCCAAAGGATCCAGTATTGCCAGTCTCCAGTATGGGGTCTCCAGAGCACACCGAGCACTGAGGACCAGTTGCATTTCACAGGAGATTGTAAGATCAGATTCCTGGCACAACTGTAGGATAGCAGTTGCTGAATCTGTGTGAAAATTCTTGGGGAAAAAAAACAACAACAAACTGGCTAATATAAGTAAAATGACATGACAACAGGAAAAGGGGAATTGGTTTAGTTTTCTTTTCAAGGGAACAAGAACTGGCCTTGCATCTGAAAAATTACTTTGAATTACACAAAATAATTTCTATATTTTGCTTGACCTAATTGTCTTTATTTTAAACTAGGCCTATAGGAGTTGCAAAGCATTTGTGTTTCTTTGCATTGTGATTCTTTCCAGCATTTGGAGAAGCTGCTCTGAGGTGTAGCATCTCACCTTACCTGTGACAAGAAACAGTCACAAACACAACAATCCTGCTTTTGAGCTCCCAAATGTCTGCTGTGTATTTTCCTGGTCTTCAATATTCAATCTATGTCATTAGGAGTAATTCCACACCCCTCCAATTCATTTAGCTCCATTATTTGAGTTTTATTATTTTATGTTTTACTGGCAGCCAACCTGAGGAAAAATCCATTTCCTTGACCAAGGAAAAGTCCAGGCATTGCTTAGAAGCTTTCAACTAGTCGAACAAAGTGGTAAAATTTGCTTCAGACTACAAAATTACTTTATAGATGAGTTAAGGTAATTGGAAAGGGGAGGGAGGGAAAGAGGGAGAGGTTTGTGCCACTTGTGTAAAGCTATAATCTGTTAATTTAGCAGGGTTCAATCAGTTTATCTCAAAAAAACACCTGCCAGGACAACGTCTCCAAAGGCCCATGTGAGTCATTTCCTTTCCTCAGTTGCTGCAATCTGCCCCTGCTGGGAGTGCTGCTAACTTCCTCCTGAGGGCAGGCACAAGCAGGAGCCCTCAGGATGCTGCTGCTTCCTCTCCTGGCCCTGGCTGCAGCCTGGTCTCCTTTGTATGTTCCCTTTGTCACCGTGACACAGGGCAGTGCAATGAAACATGTGGGTGAATGAACAGCAAGCTGAGAGGGTTTGTTCTGTTTTCTCTCTTTTTTTTTTCTAGATGGACAAGCACAAGCACTTCTAGAGCAGAGAGAAGTGTCCATTACCAGAGGGCACAAGACAAGTACATCCATGGACTGTATAGCTGAGGGTATTCCTGGCTTCCAGTATGCAGACACACATTGGTACCGACACACTCCCACCAAAGCCCCAGAACGGATTCTGTGCATTGGAGCCCGTGCAGTTTCTTACCATGACAGTTCCTTTAGCAACAAGTATTCTTCTTCAAAGACAGGTACAAATGTCTGCACTTTGACAATCAATGCCATCAACTCCGATGATGAAGGTACCTACTACTGTGCCTACTGGCATTTCCACACAGCTAGCAGGTGCAGAAAGCTGCCCGTGCCCTGAGGAGCAGGCTTTCTGTCAAACACAGAGAATCATAATTGCACTTTCCTGCCTCTAAAAC